CTCTCTCACACACACACACACACACACACACACACACACACAGACAGCATCACAGTCACACTTACCTGCAGTTTTAGCCTACAGGTAAGCTGTCAAACAGGTTTCAAGATGGCCCAGGTTTATCTTCCCATAGGTGTCTGGGCAAAATAGACTTCTCCAGATTGAAAAGAAAACGACTGTCTTGATATGTTTTCTGGAAATTTAAAAGGCTTGTTTAGAAGTCCTTAATTATCCAAAGCTGGTGTCGGCGGAGGGCACTGCAGCCGAGAATTATGAAGGCTGAGGCTTGGGTGGGATGGTTTCTGGCCTGGTGACATTGCTTCCTGGGTCACCATCTCTGGAAGACCTGCTAGAGCTGGCTTCCAGGGCCAGACAGACTTCCTGGGTCTTTGAGACAGTCTGTCACTGACCCCAGAGCTCACGTTTTTTTTTCTACTAGATTTGTTGCCCACCAAATCATTGGGGCACCCCTGTCTTGGGGTAGAAGATATAAGCCTTCAAGGTGGACTTTTGCCTGAGTTCTGAGGGATCCGAACTCAGGTCCTTATCTGCATGGTTAAGCCCTTTAACCAGTGAGCTCTCTCCCCAGCCCAGCTTGTTGTTTTTAAAAAGCCAAGCATGCCTTTTTGTCGAAATTCAAACCTCACTTGGTTTGGAGGTGAGTGAGAGCAGACACCAGTCCACCAGCTCTGACTGTGGTTCCTTTGGGGGTGTGGGAGGCCAACTCTGGTGATATTTTGAAAAGCAAAACAGATGGTTCTCCAGTCCTGAAGAGGGACACTTGTGTTTCTCACTTCCTCTCACTTCCGGTGCAACTTTACTTTGTCCTCATCTAGCCTGTAAGATGCTTTTCTCTGTTCAGGGTGTTTGCTATGAATGAGAAAGATCTAGGCAGAAGTTTGTTGTGCCTGAGGGGTGGGAGGTGGGGAGAGAAGGGAGGTCTTTTTTAAGGTTGGTAGGGGATTCATTTAAGGGAGGAGAGATGATTTAACAGTGACAGGCTTCATCCTTCTGAGTACCTGGTCTAGGGTCCTGGGAGTGGTGGGTGGGAGGCCTAGGTGGCAGAGGTGACTGCAGGGAGAGATGCTTTTTCCTCTGCCTCTAAGGCCTGACTGGAGCCTCACCTTACTCTCTGTTCTCAATGCAGACAGATCTGCAAAGAGTTCACTGACCTGCTGGCTCAGGACCGATCTCCCCTGGGGAACTCGCGGCCCAACCCTATCCTGGAGCCTGGCATCCAGAGTTGCTTGACCCACTTCAACCTCATCTCCCATGGCTTCGGCAGCCCGGCGGTGTGTGCCGCAGTCACCGCCCTGCAGAACTATCTCACCGAGGCCCTCAAGGCCATGGACAAAATGTACCTCAGCAACAACCCCAACAGCCACACGGACAACAGCGCCAAAAGCAGTGACAAAGAAGAGAAACACAGAAAGTGAGGCTCTCCTCCCACCCTGAGCCCACCCGCCTCACCGGCCCGCGCCCCCCACTCGCCCTTCCCCCACCCGGCAGGTGACAGCTCCGGGACCAGCCACTCCTTCTGCTGCTGCTACGCCGCGCTGCCGCGCCGCCCCTCGTCCCCGGTCCCCGGGACTGCTCTTTCGACTGCCAGTGAGGCAGCTGCTGCCTACTCAGCGCCCTGCCTCAACTTCCCCATCAGCACCAACACTCCCTTTCCCTCATCTGGAGCCTAAAAGAACAGAACAGGTCCTGAAGCCAGCAAAGAAAAGTTCTGTCGCGTTTGTGAACCTTTTTTTTTTTTTTTAAATCAAATCAACAAAAAACATTAAAACTTTTTTTTCTAAAAAAAAGAACGTTAAAAAAATTTAAAAAGTATATGAGCTTCATGGGACTAACTCATCGCCTTCCCTTGCATACTTCAGATTGTAGCCATACTTAAAAAAAGGCAAAGAGGATAATGACATTTTTATCAGTATTGTGAATAAACTTGAACACAAATACAGAAGTTCTATGTCCTGTCTTCAGTTGTAGAAGTTGTCTCTGCAAGGTGCCCACTTGAACTTCCTCTGATGACACAATCCACACTTCTATAAGGGAATCAGTGTTCACGTCTCTGTATATATTTATTTATGTGTAATTTAATGGGATTTGTAAATATGGTGAGTCTGTTTTAAACCTTTTTTTTATTTATCTGGTGATCTCGTTTACCTCCTGTTTAGTGGGTTTTGGATCCTCCCTATTAGTTCTTCATGTGGTTTTACTTACTTAGAACCCCAGGGTTTGGGTGATTCCCCCCCCCTTCTGGAATTCATGAATTTAGCCCCTTGGTAGCATGTTAACAATGATAATGAAACAGCTGAACAAAACTTTTTAAAAGTAAAATAAAATTTTATATATAATTAGTATTACATTTAGATTTTCATTGAACTGAAAGGAAAAACAGAGTGATATTGGGACATCATTGGAGAGATTTTTCTTTTTAATGGTTTGATAACCCTCCTATGGAATCGTGGGGAGAAAAATAAAGTTTATTTGAGTTCAATGTGCTCCCTGAAAAGCGTCCTCTGAGCAATAAATGAATATTGTCTTTAAACCAAGGGTTAGGGATTTCTCTGTGCTCTCTCTCTTTCTCTCTCTCTCTTCCTCTCTCTCTTTTTGTTCAACTTCAAGCATTTGCGACCACCTGGTATTCTGCGTCTTCACTGGCCACATTGGAAGCAGTTCTAGATGTGCTGTGCTGAGTTGCGCTGGCGGTAGTTTCCATGCCTGTCAATGTATCATAGTCCTTTGTTGCCCAGATAAATAAATATTTGATACGCTTTATGTCGATTTTTTTTATTCAGTGGCTGTCTTTACCCAGGCGTATTTTTGTTCTTGGCAGTATTTTTTATTCAGTATGGTTACAGTAATTGAGTTTAACTCTCCCTTGGCAATTGCTCTTTGCAATAAGCAGCTGAACCCATTGTTTCCCTCAAGTATAATAAAAACTTACTTTCAACTTGGAGTTCAGAGCAGGGTATCATTTAGATATTCCACTGAGTCTGTATTCAGACAAATGACACAATAAAACCCAATGTATTCTTTTGGATAAAAGATTGTTTGTACTGCTAAAGGAATGACGTGCTATTGCTTCCTGACTGGGGGCATTAACTTTATTATTAAAAATAAAGTTTTATTTTATTTATGTTGATCCTTTAGCTTTTCATTTGCATTTTGGAAACCAACATATTTAAGCCCTCAGAACTAAACGTTAGGAATGACAAAGCTGGTGGCATGTGGAAGGACCGAAGACGCTCTCCCTCCCATAACTGCGGTCCAATCTGTCTCAGAAGAAAGCTCAAATGGGAAATGATTAGTTCATTAGCACAAAGGAGATGCGCATTTTCATCTTCGCTTGTTTGCTAGGCTTTTATGGCTTAAGCTAACCCTATTTCCCTGGGAGGAGGAAAGGTACCAGAAAGGTATGTGGTCCACAGAAAGAGGCCAGTTGCCCCCATTTGCTTTTAATATTTCATTTGGAGATGAATTCGCTCCTGGAGCCAGTAGAGGGGAATGGCAAAGTAGGTGGATCCCTAGAATCTCCGACACCGCACTCCCTCCCCAACTGCAGACACACCCTTTTCGATCTCCTCTGGTTCCTCCTAGGACCTTTAGAAACACACGGCCTCAGAAGGGAGGTGGAGGGGGTGGGGGAGGGCGGCCCATGCAAGGCTTTCCTATCTGTCTTCCACAATAACAGGACTGTGTGCCTGCTCTGGGGGAAAGGAAGGACCTTCTTGCATAGGAAGATGGCGAGTCCAGAGGTTTTGTAAATGGAATTTGTAATTCTTTGCCTTGGAAGTGAGGTGACTTTTTTTATTTGACTTTAAAAAAAAAAAATCTTAACAGAAATACGGAGGTTGGCTAGGTGGAAGGGTTAGAGGGAACCTGTGTAGATGGCCATGCGGACAAGAGATGACTTGTGTTCCTCTGCTTTGGCATGCTGAGGACGAGGAAGGCAAAAAGTGTCCATTTTTGCAACCTTTCCCTTCTAATCTCCTTATGGAAGGCAGTGTGAAATCAATCTCCACAAACCAACGAGAGTTGGTGGGGTCTAAATTCTATTTTCCAAAGCCAGGGAATTTATAACCATAGTGGGTTAAAGAACATTTCAAATGAAAAGCATATTCTCAGAACGCAACGCGACAATTGTTTTTTTTTAAAGCAGTTATTTATTATTTCCTGGAGAGACTGGTTAACTGTAACGTAGATGTAACAAAATAATGAGGCGAATGAACCCTAACTGTACATACTGTTGACAGAAATGAAATGCGCACAGCGTCGTAGCAGGTGAAGTGAAGCATTGTCTATCAGGACTGTTTTTCTTGGCTGCATCTCAGATTGTGTGGGGGATCCTAACCTCAGGCACAATAGCATTCGTAAACAGCCATACATTGCTGCTCTTTCTCCAATGACACATAAATACTCATTTTAAAACGAAAACAATCTTATTAAATACCATTCATTCATAGCTGGATTTACAGATGCTTGTTATGTTGGAAAACCTGAACCCAACATAATCTTTGCATCCCAAGAAAGATAGAAAGGAAATGGTGGCTGGAACAGGACAAGGTAAAAATAAACAATGGTTCACGAATGCGGAGAATCAGTATTTTTACTTTGCAGTTGGACTCATGATATTGCCATTGTTTTTAAACAATGAAATTAAAAGGTGTTATGAACATTACAGGAGGTGATTATATATATATATTTTAATTGAGTTAACCAAGGGCTAGCTATGTGAATTTTGGCTTTTTCTGTTGTAACTTAATCCTCCCAAACACGGGAGGATTGCTTAACAGGCCCAGTGTTTACATGCTAACAACAAAGATTTTCTTTGGATTAGACCAGATCAGGATACATAGTTGAATTATAAAGATGCTCGCCAGACTATGCAAATTACCACACAAAATTTTCATGGAAACACAACGCTCTTTCTAGGTGGCTAGTCAGAGTCACCCCCTCTATACTCCCTTTAAAAAGCACAATCCAACCCACTCCTCCCCAAAATCGAATATTAATACAATTTGTGTTCTTGCTGGAACCACCATCAGGACTGCAATGCCCCGCAGCTGAAATAATATTTAAAATAGAAGGGATTTGACATTTGAGAAGTCAGTGGCTGAAATACCCAGTTGTACTTAGCTAATTCAGTCCTTAACCTCTGGTTTCAAATAAATCAATTACAGTCGATTCCACTTCAGTTCAGAAGTGCACAGGGTTTTAGTTAATTGAATACATTTTATTCACTTGCTAGGAATATTCATTTATCAAAATTCCAAATTTAATGTACGTTTCTTTACAACTCAGGTTATGTTAGACTGCACAATCAAATCCAATTTACCTGGATTCCTTCAAATCCTGCTTAAAATCCAAATTTTATCTACTCTAACATAACAATGTCTCCAGTTCCTTCAACCCAAAGGGTGTTCACAATAATCCTATGTAAGGTAGGAGAGTTTCCTCATAAAGAAAAAAAACCCATATGGTCATTAGGCTTGTTCTAAGTTTAAATAGGTTAAAAACAAAGCGGGATTACTTCATTTTAAAAGAATAGACTTGAAACTTAAAAAAAAATGACCTGCATGGTTTCTATTAGAGTTTTACTTTGTTGACAGGTACACAGCATTTTGTGGTCTTAAAGCCATAGGCTACCTTCTTAACTCTAGCTCTTCCCTTGTCTCCCACCCTAGGGCTTTTTGAGAAGTGCATGAATTAAATAGGAACTGTTAAGCAAAGCAGTACAGTTGCATGTGTCCAAATGAAGTTGTGCTTTAAGCAGATATTGATGTATGCAGTGTTTTATATTTATTGTTTGCAGCATCCTGCTGGCAGCCGTTTACTCTTTGGAAAGGAAAGGGGTTAATTAGCGTCATTATCAATCACTAATGCTTGCCTAACGTGTCCAAAGAATAATCAAGTTAGAGGAGGGCATGAAGCCAACAGCTGCTTCAGCCCAGTTACAGATCTTTTAAGCCACTCAGTGATGGGGTGGAGGGGCGGCTGGGTGGGGAAGACCCTTCGTTCCCTGGATAAAAGGGCTATAAAAATCAGGTCAACTCACTAGAGGCAGAAGCAACAACACAAATAACCAGCATCTTCATCCCTGAGTTACATACAGGTGCAGAGATGGCTGCAACCAAGACAAGAAGATTGAAATTTGCTCTTATTTATTTGATTATCCAATCTGGAGACTTGAAGAAACAGATCCACATTCCCTTATTGCTAACTGCTGAATAGGAATAGGGAGGGAGGGGAGAAAGGAAGGAGGGAGGGAGGGAGGGGAGAAAGGAAGGAGGGAGGGAGAAAAGATAATCCATGAACCCAAAAGCCACCTCCCAGCAAAGGTCAATAATCGCTCCACCCTAGAAGAATAAAATCACTGAGCCAGTGTCTCTCACACTTCTGCATCCTGTCTTAGGATATATTGGAATATCTGTCCTTATAGCTTTCAATGAGCCATTCTTTTCTAGACTAAACTTGGCTCAATAGTCGAACTGTACAAATATGTCACTTCTGCTTCCTGCCATTCTTAATGACACTGTCCTCTCTTTGGCCCACCTGGGACTAGAAGCTGAAATTGTATCCCTCATGAGCATTTCTTCTAGGAGAAGCAGATCTTTAATAACCCAGGGAACCACGAGTCAGAACTAAAGGTGTTGTTAATGATCGGAGTTAACTGCCTCTCTGGAGGTAGGAGGTAGGGATGAACTAAGTCAAGACAGGCAATTTAGAAACAACTGAGCAGTGCCATTGAATGGAACATGGATGTGATGACATAGATTAGACATATTCCCAACCAAACCAAGCTATCTCCAAAGAAATAATTGGACTGCAGGGTTGTCTATGGGGTGGGTAGATAGAAGTATGCTGGACCAGAAAACTGTGTAATTCAAGTATGTGGACAGTTCCAAGTTGAAGACAAAAAGTCTGCTGTGTTTAAAAAGAGGAAGGAAATGGGGTTGTAGGATGGGGGGAGGGGCTCAGAAATAAAACTTTGTGTTTTGCAAGGTTGTGCTTTTGTTTTGTCTTTCATGGCAGGAAGGGAGCAGCAGCAATTTAGTTTTCACAGAGTGTGCTTCTTTCTGAACAAAACAGCAATGCTAGCATGGCGGAGATTCCCATACTTGGAGCAGGCTCTATTCACAGGAATAGTAGGTCTGCCAGTCTTGAGCTTTGTGGATGGGCTTTCCCTTTCCACAGTACCATTGACTTAGAAGTGGGGATATTTTCAATTACAAGGAAGGATTTTCTTTTCTTTTTCTAAAGTGTCTCAAACCATGCAATGATTTGCCCCCTAGAAATAAAGGTCGTGTTTTGTCACTGAGGAGGAGGAGGCTCTGTGGTAGGGCACTTTGCTAGCTCTTGGGGTGCTAAAGTCCATCAGCAGCACCCCAGAACCAAAACCAGACAAAGACAACCTCCACCTTTTGAGTTCCAATAACAATCTTAAACACAATCCCTCCAAGTGATCCCATCCACTGAGCTGAAGTTCCCAGGCAATCAGACTTTCAACTTCACCAACCTGGGCCACTTTTTCCACCCAGGAACAAATCTCTGGGTACTCTCTCTAGACCATTGCTCTTTAAAACTCCAGCGTATCCTAGGGATATGGAACACACACACACACACACACACACACACACACACACACACAAACTAAATTTAGCTAATACAGCTTAAAATAATTTTTTTTTTCCCGAGGCACCGAGTTAATGCTAGGATCAAATTTCCGTTTGCTTTGTCAG